AGAAGGGAGGGGGGGGGAGAGGGGGGGGGGGGGGGGGGGGGGGGGGGGGGGGGGGGGGGAATCGGAGAAGAAAGAAAAATTCAGGGGAAAATGGGAAGGGAGAGGAATGAGACGCTACAACCAATCTCAATAATTCATATTCATCCAAAATCTAATGAAATTACATGAAAAATTATGTTTAAATAGTAAAGACAAAACCCTACTTCGAACCGGTTTGGGTCAATACAAGCACAATTATATAAATAGAATTTAAAACATAAATAAAGTCCAACTAAAAATAAATAAAAAATGATGTCCTCATCACTTTCAATTCATCATATGCAACTCTGGCTACTAGGTTGCTTTCTATTCCTTAAGATAAAATGGGAAATTTTAATATCTCGTTCAAATCCGTAATATTTTTATTATTATTGTTTGTTATGCCTCCAATTCGTGTGAGCTCAGGTAGATGAAGCATTAGCTCATCACCAAACCAATCGAAATCACAACTTAAAAGAAGCATGTGAAAATCGTAGTATAGATCATATCTTATAATTTATTTAAGTTTACATAAGCTTGAACTTGACGAACTATAATTACGCATCCACCTTATATTTGTAATCAAAGCAGATGCCACATAGAATCCCTCAATCGCATTTTCACATGGCAACAACTTTCAATGTCACCACCTCAACTATAGGTCAAAATAGATACTTTGCACCTCCATCACCCCAAGGTCGCCTAGTAAGCAAATGCCATGGTTGCCCAATATGCTAACGCCTCGAATAGCCTCAATGAATCTTTATTAGAAGCCTAGTATTGGGTTTCGAACAGTCATAAGCTACCTTGGAGACTTTTCTGGGGCCATTTTGGCACAAACTCATCATAGAAGAGTCGAGTCTCTAATGGAGGGACATAGGCACTCAACAGATCCAATGGAGACCATCGGTTGCCTCAAAAATCTTGGGTGAAGTCTCAAAGATTTATCTTACTCGCAACCTCGGACAACAAGCTAAAAATACCTTGACACGACACTTCACAGCAACACTTGAAATGACAAAATATTTGATGTGGTCTTTATCTTACACGCCACAACCACCCCACACAAACACTTCTCTATGCATACATTGCTCATTTTCATTTTAAGGTATGTGAATTTCAAAAAGCTCTATAAAACTTATCTTTTTGTACCTAATTTCTACAATTTAACTTGATTGTCAGAATGCAATTGATTAATGATCTTGAACCTATGAGTTTTTTGACCCGATCTAGAGAGAGCAAAGACTGAGGGTTCGGCTTCTTTCATAAGGTGGGCAGGGGTATTCCTTGCTCTTGCCGGACCTGTACTATCTACTCTGCTATTTATGGAAGAGCCAACTCCATTGGATAAGGCTTCTGCTAGAGGATATGAGGCTTTCGTTCGATTCAAAAGATTTATCAACAAGGGGGAGGACTGTGGGCATAAAGGTAGGTTGGAATGACTAAGGTTGATGGGTGGAGTCCGTCTCATCTCGAAAGACAAGGGAAAGGTTTCAAGGTTTAGTGTTGAATGAAGATTCAGCTTGACTATAAGGACGAGGCAACTCAAAATGGGTGTTAGCGACTCCGATTTTGATGATCATATACGATTGACAAGGCCTTTATCGTAGGCAGGTGCAAACCATCAAGTATCATGTACGGCTACCCACGAGAGCCTTGACAAAATCAAAGTATGTTTGATAAGGCGTTGGTTCGGTCGGTCACCATCTTTCTTTGTTCAGCACTGACTGTTTTTGGGATTCATTCACTGTTGACGGAGGATCTAGGTCTTGGAATGGGTCACCCCCGGTGCAACAGAAAAGATGAATCGAATGAGGAAATTGAATTGCTCAACTGTTAGGGAGAGGAAGAAGACAAGAAAGTGAAATTCTCAATCATAAGTGAGGCTCCCTCACTAGTATCCATCATTACAAATGGAAATTGACATATGAAAAATGATTGATTGTGTTCTAGAATGCGAAAAAGTACATTATCAATTTCAAAATCTCTCTACACCTCTAGTAGGGCATTAGATTCTCACCAATGTTTGCATTACTCAAGCTGACATTCTCGCTTTCGCTTCGTCCACCACTTCTCGTGCGAGGGCTTCCTTCTAAGGCAGAACGCTCCCCTACTGATGTATTTTTACATTCCACAGTTTTTGCAGATCGCTTAGCCCCATTCATCTTCAATGCAAGAGCGCTCGATCAGTGAGCTATTATGCACTCTTTCAAAGGTTGCTGCTTCTAGGCAAAGCTGGGTTCTCATTCCAATGATTTTCATCTCCTTCTTGCGGGGACAAGAGAACACGAAGATTGAAAGCATCGGCTAGGCCTTTCTTTCTCTGATTAATTTCCTGTTCAAAGACCAAGCTAAGAACGGATCGGAGAAGGTTACCAAGTTGAGTAGAGTGATTTGTATTTTAATGATATTGTAGTGTACCGATAATATATGGTGAATGAAAAACTGGCAAAGCTCTATTGGCCACAAGGTCTGACAATTATTATTCTTATTATTATTATTGATTATATTTTTTGAGCTGGACTTTACTTGGGTTGACCGAACAGTTCTTATTATCAACTCTGTCCCCCACCATGTTTGATTAAAGAAAGAGGGGGTCCGTCACGCGCGCTTCCTCTTGGTCATCTCCTCTCCGGTTCGTTCGCTCCAATAACCTTCAGGTTAATTGAACCTGCCTCGTACTTCTAATAATCGTTTTAAGAGCAGCGCCCTGTACTTTTCGGAGAGAGACTTCAAAACTGAAACTCGCAATATTAGAGAGAACGACCGTTTGTAAATAATCGTGAAAAATTTGCGGCAGATATCGAAAATTGACGGAGAAGTAAAACGTAATTCTACCATTAATGGCTCCTCTTCAAGATGACAAAGGAACTGAAGTTACAGAGGTGTCCATCCCTAAACGCCCAATCTCCACTGTCGTTTTTATTATCGGTACTCATTTTTCCTGTATTTATTATGATTATTTTATTTTATTTTTTGTGTTTTCTGCGTGTATATGTTTGTATATGCTAACTTATATCTCTCTTTGTGTTTATGTTTGTAAAAATGGTGCATAGCTATGCAGACGGAGGCATCACCTCTAGTGGAGAAGTTCCAGCTCGCCCAAGAATCCAATTCCGTGTAAGCTGTACAACTAAGATCCGACTCAAAAAAACTGGAAAAAAGAAGTTATAAAAAAGAAGATTAGGAAAAAGTAAAGGAAACTTTTCTATACAATTTGTACTGGTAATTTTGGAAAGTTAATGCCTACTACCATAAGTGGAACTATATACGTTTATTGATTTCGCATATCAATAAGGTCTCGTCTTTTACTTATATGCGCTCAGTAATTGTTGGAATCAAAATAAATAAACTGGAAACGAATGTTATTTTTAGTAATGTGGCCACTTTAGCAAAGTTTTAGTGTTGTTGATTCCTAGCTGGAGTACATTTTCCCCTATGCTGCCTGTTGGTACTAGTGGAGTAGGATTGACCCATAATAAAGAACCTCTAGGTGTAACATTTCGCTCAATATTAGAATCAAAATTAAAACATGGCCCGTTGCACTTTTTTTATGGGTTGTTTCATCTCACATCATCTTCTGATGCAGATTTCCGAATGGGGTCCCGTGGGTGAGGTACAGTGGAAAATATAAAGATTTAAATATCAACATCGTTTCCCCCGGAAAAGACGTAGTTTTGGGTATGGATTTTGAGTCTCTTATGTGAATTTGTTTTCAATCTGTAGTATAGTACTCACCATTGAGTCTAATCTGCTTATGTCTAGATATGTTGCCCTTGTGGTCCTATTGTAAATGATAAGATTCTTTGAACATATAATATCATTTTTTTTCTCTGAAACTTAATAAAATTAATTCCATGTACCTAAGAGTGATCAATAAATCTTATGGGAGGAATCATTCTCTCTGGAAGTGATGACCAATCTTTGACTGGACCATGTATAGTGTGATGCATTCTGCAGTTTTACGGGGCTTTATTGTTATTTGTTTGGTGAGTCACCGTGAATTTTTGACTGCTGAGTTCTTAATTGTTTCTTTATCAGGTGTCGACAGTGTAGGCACAGTTTCTGCATCGCTTATAACTTATGCTTCTATTCAAGCTTTACAACCAGACCTGGTCATAAATGCAGGCACTGCAGGAGGTTTCAAGGTATTACTAATGCTGCTATGATGGCTTTCATATAACTTTGTTCTTATGTATTGATCTTCTGGCCTTATCATAATTGGTATACTTCCAATCCTTTTTGCATGTGACATACGTTCATTCATTCTACTGCTGACTGTTTTATGTTCCTTTTATATATACAGATTTTTCCCTGCTTCCGTCCTTTCTTATTTTATTAACCATTTTTCTTTATATATTTTCTTTTTCATTTTTTTTACTTGTTCTTTCTATTTGGATCACTATAAATGACTCCATTGAGTTCGCCTCCTAGTTATACCTACTTGTTCAACACTATACCTTCCTGCTGTCTTTTGTTGTCTGACTGATTCTGTGTTCATCAGGAGACCAAAATGTTAAAACTTCCCTTCCTCAAAACTCAATATCATGTTTTCAGTAAAGAGTTTGATTTATTTTTTTGCGTTGGGTGAAACTTTATGCACATTTTCAGGTTGTCTTCCTTGTGTTTTATGTAATCTATGCATTACATAGCTGATATAGAATTTTCATAGGCATATCTCAAATATAGGATACCAAGGTCACGTGTGCTCACTACAAAGAGTGTTTAATCACTCTTTTGATATATATCTTGTACTGATACCTAGATTTTACAGGCAAAAGGTGCTTGCATAGGTGATGTGTATCTTGCATCAGATGTTGCTTTCCATGACCGAAGAATTCCTATCCCTGTAAGTTTTTCTGTCTTCATTTCCTCACTTGTTTTTCCTGTTGCGTGGCTGGGGAAGATGCAATTAGACATAACTATATGAAGCTGACCACAAATTTATTGGAAAAAACAAGTTTTAGTTTGTTAACATAGGAAAATATGTTTATTGTTTTCTCATTTTTTTTATCTATAGGAGCGTAGTAGCAAGGAAAATTGCTTTTAAGGTTGTGGTGAAGAATTGATTGCTTTATAACTTTTACCCTGTTACCCTATGAAGTTATATTCATATTAGACGGCTTGAATTCTAATACTTGGTAAAGTTTCTTCTGCTACTGTGAGAAAGTTGTTTTAAGTTTTATCTGGCATGTTATTCTACTTAAATACTATAATTATTTTTTTCCATGTTTATTTAGAAGCAATTGAAGCTTCCATATATAATATAGCGTTAATAGATAGAAAATTCATGCAGAAATTTAGTGGTAACAGTGCCATGCAATCGACTTTGCATTACTACTATTGAGAATTCAACCGTATCAAATTGGGCAAGTCACGTGGATATAGCAAGTTAATATCCTAGCTAATCCTTTATACTGAATTCATTGTATTGCTGTTGTCCATCAGACCTTAGTAGAATAGATCAGTTGCTGAAGTTTATCCATTTGCCTTATGCTCATGATGTACTAGTAATTGTGTATCTTAATATGTTCTTTGTAGTTTTACTTCGTCGTTATCCAGTAACTTCCACTTCACTGTTGATGTTCTAGGTCATTTGCTATCTATTTGAAGGAGTCATCTGCACCTAGAAATGTTTTAACTATGTTTACGACCATATATCCAGCCATTTTCTTTAAAAATAGAAGTGAATAGTACTGTTATTTTTGGATAGCCTCTGAACCTTACATGACTTCTTTCGATCTGCAGGTATTTGACCTGTATGGTGTAGGCACACGACAAGCTTGCTCAACCCCAAATCTTGCGAAGGAGCTAAATTTAAAGGTTCTCAATTATACATTCATCTATTCAAAAATTCACTAACAGCTTCTAATTTGGTTCTTACTTCTCCTTTTCTATATTGCCGTGTTTGTGCTTTAATATATAGTTGCAAACTTGCAATGCTTGGTGAATCTTGTTTCTCAAATTTGTTGAATTTTCTACTGGTACTTGAGATGAGATAAATCATATTTGAAAAAGTTATGAGTTAATTTATGCTGGATGCTGAAGGCAATCATTTTATCCAGTGAGTAAAGTCACATATTTTATACAAGCAGTGAATTAGCCTGACGACTTTGCAACAGTGGAGTGACTGGAGTCCAATCTTGATCTGAAAGTTTAAGCTAGTAGGTATTAGATCCGTCCACGTGTCTATAATTTGTCAGTCTGGGTTCTTGGGACGATTTCCCTGAGTGTGAACTGTAATGTATGTACCCCTTCACATGTTACTTTGAGCACTCACATCACCTTCAAGTCCCTTGGTTTAAATCATTCTCTATAAGCACTTTCACCAATACCATGCTAATATCGTGCATTTTGCCTTAACCTTCTCCAAGGACATCCGTATTTTTCAAATCGAGAGACAAAATGAGATGCTTCTTACTCTTAAAGTCCATAAAACATCTCCTTCTCCTGAATAGTATTTCTTTGAGGCTTGGATCTAGAAATTTCGTTTGCTCTGTATGTTAATAGCACTCTATCTCATGTCTTTTGGATTACTATTCAAGTTTTGACAATCTATGTATGTTTCAGATTGGCAAACTGTCCACTGGCGATTCTTTAGATATGTGCCCACATGATGAAAAAGCAATCGTTGCAAATGATGCAACTGTGAAGGACATGGAGGTAATTTTCTATATGTGAGCTTATTGTGATGTCTGAACTAATATATAAATTGGTTCTCTGTTCTAGTCCTTCAGAAGCACAGTAGTTAATCACTAGTACTATCTTAGCAACCTCAATCTAGCTGTCTATTATTTATTTTCAACCTCAATGCAGCAATCTCTTAATTTATCTCATTGTAATTCCTTGGGTGTGTTTCACCTGGGAGTAGAAGCTGATCTCTGACATAATCTGTATCCTACCTATTTAAGTTTTCATAGTGAAGTTTTAGAACATTAACCATCTTATTTTCATATGATTTTGGTGGCAAAATTTCGAATGCATGTATCCAAATCAGTTAGGGGTAACAATAACAAACTGAGAAGTTGCATGTCACATATGCTTCATTTCATTTGGAGTTCTTGTGATCAGGAGTAAAAAAATGTGTCATGCAGCATGGAACTGGTAAAAATATGCGGGAGCTAAATCTCAGTTCTATTTTTATGCATTGTCAAGTTGTTGCTATGCTAGTAAATCTCTAAACTTACATCGCATTTTTTCTTTTTTAAAATCGTTGGGTGTCAGGGAGCTGCTGTTGCTTACGTGGCAGATCTTTTGAAAACACCTGTAATATTTTTAAAAGCTGTTACCGACATAGTCGATGGTGACAGGCCAACACCCGAGGAATTTTTACAAAATTTGGCTGCAGTCACTGCTGCACTTGATCAAGCAGCCACACGAGTTGTCGATTACATCAATGGGAAGAATCTGTCAGAACTTTGACTCTAATTGTTGTTTTCCTTTTTAATTAGCATCAGAGAGATGAATTTGAGGGATTGATGCATTGAATAATGATAATTATTTTCAACATTCGTATCTCGTTTGGTAATTTGTACCAAAACTATGGCGAGGTTATTGATGACGATGTTATTTGTCTACATATCAATATATACTTGTTGCTGTTGGTCTTAATTTTTAACCACACCCCAATGATATTGGATATGGCTACTACATTAGTTTGATTGTTGAAGTATTTATTGCAAATGATCATGTGGAAACTGCAACCAGAAAGCTAATCTTTACTACTTACCAGCCATTTTATCTATGTTCTTCCCATTTGTCATTGAAACGGGGAAAAATGGAAAATTTGAAGGAAATTACACTTTTTTTCCCCTTAAGGATTTATATGCCCCGTGGCCTGGAATCAAGGTTATCTGCTGCAAGAAACCAAAAAATTGAGAGCTTGGTTGAAATTCCTTCACCAAATCTTCACCCAACCCCTTCCAAAAAATGCCCATGAATTTCTCACCCCTCAACTAATCCATTTACGACTTAAATAATCACTTAACAATCCATCCTGTCGAATGTGATGATAAAATTATGACAAACATTAAGTTAATATAAAGAATCTTCCTTGACGCTGGTATATATAAGAGCATTCCTGTGGGAAGTACTTTGCTAAGGGAAAGGAGTTTCGAGCTTAATTTTGATAAGAAATCATGGGAAGTGATAAGACCTCGAGGATTGCTAACCCTGGAAAAGCTACAATTCTTGCTCTTGGAAAGGCTTTTCCTCACCAGCTGGTCATGCAAGAGTTGTTGGTTGATGGCTATTTCAAGAACACCAACTGTGATGATCCAGAGCTTAAGCTCAAGCTCACTCGACTCTGTAATCCAATCAATCAACATTCATATCTTTAGTGAAGATTTCTTATGCTATAAATGTAGATCACTAATAATATTAACATAATATGTAGTTACCCTTTTTTTCATGATTTTCAGGCAAGACAACCACGGTAAAAACACGATACGTGGTTATGTCTGAGGAGATCCTAAAGAAGTACCCTGAACTTGCTGCTGAAGGACTCCCAACGGTGAAACAACGATTAGACATATGCAATTCAGCTGTTACAGAAATGGCAATTGAAGCCTCACAATCTTGCATCAAGAAATGGGGTAGGCCGGCTTCAGACATAACTCACTTAGTATACGTTTCCTCAAGTGAAGTCCGGTTACCTGGCGGCGATCTTTACCTAGCAAAAGGGCTTGGGCTAAGGTCGGAGACTAACAGAACCATGATCTACTTCGCGGGCTGCTCAGGCGGGGTGGCAGGCCTTCGAGTTGCTAAAGACATTGCTGAGAACAATCCCGGGAGTCGAGTCCTGCTTGCTACCTCAGAAACTACCATTATAGGATTCAAACCACCTAGTACACAAAGACCATATGACTTAGTCGGCGTCGCACTTTTCGGAGATGGTGCAGGAGCCATGATAATTGGCTCGACCCCTATTCCAAATCTCGAAAGGCCTCTTTTCGAACTCCATACGGCGATACAACACTTTGTGCCAAATACTGAAAAGATAATCGATGGAAGACTTACCGAAGAGGGTATAAGTTTCAAGCTAGAAAGAGAACTTCCTCAGATAATTGAGGATAATATTGAAGGATTCTGTGATAAGTTAATGGGATTTGCTAATTACACTGAAAAAGATTATAACAAAATATTTTGGGCAGTTCATCCTGGGGGCCCTGCAATTCTTAACAGGCTGGAAAAGAAGTTAGAATTGTTACCTGAAAAATTGAATGCAAGTAGAAGAGCACTGGCTGATTATGGAAATGCAAGTAGTAATACAATCGTTTATGTGTTGGAGTACATGTTGGAGGAGGCTAAAAGGGAAGAATCGGGCATAAATGAATGGGGATTGATATTGGCTTTTGGACCTGGGATTACACTTGAGGGCATTCTTACAAGGAATCTTAACGTGTGATCTGTGTGAAAATGATGTTGGATACAAACATCCTCATACGAAGGAAAAATAAACTACTAGAAATATGTTGTTTCCTGCAAAAGAATATTACAATATTTTACTCTGCATATGCTGGTTTACTGTTCTTTAATCTGTCAGAACTGAAAAAGAAGTGCTAGTTGGGTGACCATCTTGAGAAAAATTGAAATTCCATAGCTAACATGAAGCAAACTAATAAAACCTATTATTTGCGTGACAATTTGCCTATCTAACTTGCCCTACTTGGCTACTCCACAATTCAAATGCTAAATGAAGCAGAAGATGAAACAACATTAAAGACCAAAAATCCAGAGAAAAAGAGCAAATATCGTATTACCACACGGAAAGTCTTGAGGTAAAACGAAGTCTGATGAACATTCATTCGAAGTTTAAGTCCTTACATGAGTCAATAGAATATCAAAATTAAAGTCCACTATTCGTACTCTTACAACCAAGCCAATCTAATTTCTAGCAAATCAACTGGCTGACTTAAATACCCAAGTTTCTTGAATTTGCCATCTTTTCGCCAAATTTTTATGATGAAGACCACGGTGACCAGGTTAAGCTGTGCGGTTTGCAAAAAAAATAACTTAGAAATGGAAACCGAACGACCATTAGTTACACCACTCCGGAAGGAAGGCGTAACACAAGCTGTCCACCAAAAACACTGCAAGGTAGAAACAAGAAGTTAATAAGATATAATGGGAACATGAATTCACAGACGATATGTATGTGCCTGAAATTGTACGCAAGAATTTATACAAACCTTTTTACATAGTAGTAACAAAAATCTGCCAGGATGAAGGTTTGAACAATTTCTGATATAAGAACCATTGAAGGCCACAGACCATAACCCAATGCCACAAGCAGATGACCACGACTGTCCAAAACCTGTCGAATGCAAATTGACAAACAATGAAGAAAGTTCATAAATTTCAATTTTCTCTGTCCCTATGCAAGAGACATGCCAGCACGTTTGGCTAAGCTTGGAAAAAGGGAAAGAGTAAAAGTGAATTTTTTTTGTTTATAAACATGTTTGGAGAACCTGCTACTTTTTATTTTAAGTGAAGAGTGTCAAAAGACCACCTTTTGCAGAACTCCTATCTAACTGCAATTTTCAATTTTGACCAGTAAAGAGAGTACATTTTAATACTGATTTACTTAATACTTTTCAGCTTAGCCAAACATGCTTATAATCCGTCCTATTTATGCATACTTGAGAGCACATTATTAAAAATCGTAACTTTTTAGTTGCAAACATGTTTAGAGAGCCTACTACTATTTATTTTAAGTGAAAAAGGCTACTTTTTGTAAAACTCTTACCTAACTGCAATTTTCAACCTTCACCAGTAAAAAGTGTACATTTTAGCACATACTTCTTTCCTTGTAAGTAAATACTTTTAAGCTTAGGCAAACATGCTAATAATCCATCCCACTTATGCATACTTGACCACATTGTTAACTATGGTATGATACTAATTATTTGAGTGAACTTAGTTCGAAGCATAAGATAATTGGATATATATGGCAGGGCTTCCAACCCATCTCATGGTGTGGTTATGAATCTCCAATCTTCAAAAATAAGGTTTTGGCTCCTAGCCTATTTAAATATGTAAATCTGGACCTAAAGTGATGGAAACGATCAATATAGACATTAAAATCGCACCCAAATTTCACATGAATTAAAGCAAGAACGACATTATAGATGGCTTATTTTTTCCCTCAAGCTTTTGAATCAAGTGAAATTCGTGTGCGATTTTAATGTCAACATTGATGATTTCGGTCACTTGGGGACCTATATTTAAGGATCTAAAATTTGTTGCAGACCTAAAACCTCAAATTTAAAGATTGAAAACCCAACACCACACTAGGAGAAAAGTTAGGGAGCCCAGCCCTTATTTCTCATAAAGTAATTTATTGCTAATTTTTGAAAGTGATGTAATACAACAAGAAGAGCACATGTGACACATGATTTTAGGTATAATCAAAGTAAATCAATTATGTGCTTGTTCGATAAAACTCGGCTAAAATTTTAGTAGACTTCTAGCTGGTCAAACTTCTATTTTAACCACATATTTTCATAAGATCAACGACTACTACCAACTTTTTAACCAATCATTTCATCAAAAACTTTGTCAAACAAACCCTATAATATCAATTGTTGAACATATTCACAGAGACTCCATTGTTTGAACAAAACATGACACAGTTGATACAATTCCACTACCAGCATATTAACTGATAAACATATTTACAAGTAATATTATCAAATACTTTATCTGCTCTACTATTTAAAAAAGATAGGAGATACCACCAATTATACCCTTAATGTAATAAAATATAAAATAATTGTAGCACAGCACTATGAAACAATAATAATATGGATATTCTAGAATCATGAGCCAGTAGTTGATGTTTATACGCAAAATTAAAATAAAATAATAAAAAAAATAATAAAAAAAATAAAAAAATAATAATAATAATTAATTATAGAGAATCTTTTTGTTTGCATTTGCTCAACTTAAAATGATTTACACAAGCTAGGGCATGTCAAACCTGGAGAACCCAATGAGCACAGCTCAAGAACCTTGCGACACCCAAAGCGAATACATAATGAGCAGTAAACGGTTCAACAATCTGTCACCAAGACATTAGAAATATCATCAGCACCTGCAACATACTCAAGTAAACTTCACAACGAAACTGTGTATCTTATACAGACAACTCTACGTGATGCCTACAAAATCCTACCTTTGTGTTTTGCATGGTGCGTAATTGAGGTAGCACGGAAACAGCTTCCAGGTAAACACAGAAAGCCCAGGCAATTCTGTTGATGATGTTATGTGATGTAGACGGATGAATTAGCAAAGCTAAAACAGCACAAGGTACCACCTGCGCAGATATAGAGTCCAAAACAATTTTTTTTCAAAAACTGAATGAAAAAATTTCAGGGAAGATTCCGTATATAGCATGTATCACAAATCTGAAATATTCATTCAAATGCATGTTTGGATCTCAGAGTACCAAACCAGGAATGGAATTAGACCATGGAAGACTCACCACATAATACAAAGCAAAATTATCTTTGTCCTCCATGTAACTGGATCTCAGTTTAAAACGAATCATATACATCACCCACAAAGTTGTAGCCAAAGTAGCCAAGTCAAGCAACGTGTGTATATCATATTCCATGACAAAACTGCAATACAATCTAACGGCCAAAAACAATGCTGTTAACTCCTGGGACTTAAGTGAAAGCCCTGCAGTTTTATAAAGAAAACGGAGGGATCAGCAAGAGTTATCCACCTAGAAATATAAGGTACACTGAGAAAGTAGGTATCCACAAATGTCAGAAGATGTAAGTAAAAAAACTTAACAAGGTAAACATCTCACAATCAGATTTATGCACAAATTCATGTGCTACAATTGGCCATTATTTAGTGAGAAGGGTGTTAGGACTCAGGAGAAAAATGACTCATTAATGAAGCTCTAGTTCACGTGGAATAAGATCCATAGGTAACTAAATGAATGAGTCCGATATGCAGGGGAGTGTAAAATAGGTATGTTAGGAATTGAATGGGTATCATAACATAAATTTACCAAAGAAAATTGTGTAAACTTTGAAGAATAATATAATCATGCTATAATTGTGGTCACATTCTAATGTTCAGAAATATCAACGGAGCAGGTCTCGTATAAATCACAAGTTTACCTTCAATTGCATTTTTTCTCTAAAAATGATGAACTCATTTGACATTCAGATCTTCACATACAAAGGCCTTAGCATAACAACTAACTATCAATTAAACAACCGACATATATGATGGTAATTGCAAACTAGGTACTGCTCACCACAATAGAGTTGGGTAAAAAACCATTTTAATCAGGCATGCAAGAAAACTAATTCCACATCCATATGCATGTGCAATATAAATATAGCCCTGGCCCCCAACAACTGAACATGTCAAAAATAAAAAAGAACTAGTATTATGCAACCTCATCAATTTACAAGTGACCACGATCAATAAATTACACTCAAAATAATTGATGGCAGGAGGGTCCTTAATTTCTCCCAACACGAACATGGACACGTAAAGGCAGATAACCAAAAAAACGAACACGGACACATAAAGATAGATAACCAAAAAAATGACTTCAATTGTAATCCCAAAGATTACTCCCGATTAGATTTCAAACTGTAAGATATGATATAGAACCATAACACGCAACTTCAAGAAAAGGATGAGAACTCTTTGAAACCATATAGCCGAGAAATAAGAGAAACCCCTAAAACTTGGGTAAAACCATATCTTTGACTACCCCCAGAACCCACGAGACAGGCAATTGGCTAGTGCACAAACAACAATAATCAAAACCAAAACAACAAAGACAACGATAAAAATCAAATCTTTTCTTATATAAACCAAATTTGACAAAATAATATCAGAACCCCATGATATAGAACTGTAACTCATGCAAAGGATTAGAACTCTTTTCAACCATATAGCCGAGAAATAAGAGAAAATTCTAAAACTTGGGTAAAAACCATATCTTTGACTGCCCCCAGAACCCAAGATACGGGCAATTGGCTAATGCACAAACAACAATAATCAAAACCAAAACAACAAAGACAAGGATAAAAATCAAATCTTTACTTACATAAAACCAAATTTGACAAAATAATATCAGAACCATGATATAGAACCATAACATGTAACTTCAAGCAAAGGATGAGAACTTTTTGAAACCATATAGCCGAGAAATAAGAGAAACCCCTAAAACTTGAGTAAAACCCATATCTTTGACAACCCACACCAGCTCAAGAAACAGGCAATTGGCGAGTGCACAAACAACAATAATGAAAATCGAAACAACAAAGACAAGAATAAAAATCAAAACTTTTCTTACATAAACCAAAATTTGACAAAATAATATCAGAAACCCATGTGAGAAAACATAAAAACCAATAAGATCAAAGTAACTAATATATTTCATTAAACATTCCCTTCGCTGCAAAACTTCTCACAGCCAAGAGAAGATCTTTTCCTCATCTCCCAAAATTTCTCGCTCCCATAATCAATTACAAACAGCTAATAAAAAATCACAGAAAAAAACACGCAAAATTTCCCATTCCCATAATCAATTAAATACGACTGCCCCAAAATAAAAATTAAAAACATAAAAAACCCTGTAGACGAAAGACATAAAAAGCCAAATTTTTTCACATAAACAAAATTTAATCCAAATCAGAATCCCATCTGAGGAAACGTAACGAAAAATCCCCATAAGATCAAAGAAAATAAACAGTTTCACAGAATTTTCTCTTCAATGTAGGGTTCATAAAGAGAAGATCTTTTCCTCATCCTCCAAAAAAGCCCATGTAGACACGCAACAACCCACAACATATATACGCAAAAACAAACAAACAAATAGGTATAGTACCAGCGCATGTTTTCTCCTTCATAAGCTTATAAATAAGAACCGAAATTCCGATGGAGTGAACAGCCTCGGCAGCTACAAAAAGATTGTCATGATCGTGAACAATAGCGCGGAGAAGCACCAGCGCCGCCATGCCGCTGACAACCGCCAGAAACGCCTTCACCTTCGGCGGCTGCCGCCGGACCCATGTCGAAACCGCGTGGATCGGCCTCCTCGGTGGCCTCATCTTTTGCTCCTCTTTGTATGTATAAATGTATAGATTATAAATATTTATTTTCCCCGAGCTTTCTGCGATTGAAAGTTGAGGGAAAATATAACGGCAATTGGGATAAAGGGAAGGGAACAGTAAAACAGAAGGCAAAGCGTTGAGAATAATGGCAGTTCTATTTTGGAATTAATGGTGGCAATGGTTATTGAATTTAGGTCAATATTTTGATTGGTCATTAAATTTAAAATATCAGTTTCAGTCACTAAATTTTGAACCATATCTTCGATTGCTTAGTGAAATTTAAAATATTAAATTTTTGATCACTAAATTTTGAAAAAATGTCGAACATTACTCACAAACATAAATATTGAATTTTGAAAAATATCGAGTTTACAGTGAGTAATGTACAATAATTTTTAAAGTTTACTGGCTAAAATTCGATATTTTAAATTTCAGTGAGCAATCGAAAAAATAGACCTAAGTTTAGTAATTAAAATTCGACATTTTAAATTTCAGTAACTAATCGAAGAGATAGACCTAAGTTTAGTGACTATTGGAACAATTAACTCTCTGTTTTGGCTATTTGACGCAAAAGGGTCAAATTAGTTTGGTTAACTTATTTTTTAACTTAAAAAAAAAAGGAAAAAAAAATTTACTTTGCAAAAGCATTTCCTAAAGAATATCTTATATATCATAGAATGTATTTATAAATTTAGAAAGTAAAATTTTTTATGTATTTTGATAATACTCTCTATTTTACTTTTTTCAAATTAGTTTTTCTCATATTTTATTTAACATAATTTTTTATAGGTTAATGATTAATCAATTCAAATGTATTTTGAATAGTTTAATAAACTGAGTATTGAAATTCCTGACTTATTAAACACAATAATTATACATTATCAATAAAGAGTCTCTTGGAGCTTACTGTTAAATTTTTAGCATTAACCCTTTAAAATAAAAAGCATTTTATTTAAAAAAATCTCTTGAAAATGTTCTAAAGTAATTCTTATATTATTGTCAAAATAAGTAATTAACTTATTTTTATATTTAATCAATAAAATAATTATTTATTTTAAAAACCATTTTTTCTCAAACTCGTTTTCATCACAAGTTTTATAGGACTATAACTTTTATCAAAATCTATAAAAAAATTATTTATAATTAAACCCAACCTGGGCTAAATGTACAACATCAAATCATTTATGAGTATAATTAAATCTATCAGTGGCCACCTAACTTTATAATTAGTGTTATTATGGTCACTCAAATTTCACCATTACAAACCAATTTTATAATTTTGATTTTATTTCATCACTGCAATCCAATTTCATATAACTTTTTACAATGATCGTTAAACCTTTTTTTTCCCCATCTTTTTACTAATTTTAAAAGGGGGAATTGTAACTTTGCATTATGTATATATAATAAATTTTTAAAAAATAAAAATAAATTTTTTATTCTATTTTTTTATAAAGTTTTTATTTTCTTTTAATAACATTTTTTTAAATTTTATTTTATTTTATTTTATTTTTTAAGGAACGTTTTTTTAAAATAAATTTTTATTTTATTTTATTATTTGAAGTTGCCTTTCTTTTAAAATAAAATTTTATTTTATTTTAAAAACCTTTTTTTAAATAAGTTTTCATTATATTTTAAAATCTTTTTAAAATAAGTTTTTATTTTATTTAATTTTTTAAGTAAAATTCTTTTTTAAATAAGTTTTTATTATTTTAAGTAACTTTTAAAAATAATTTTTATTTTAAAATTTATTTTATTTATATAATGTAAAGTTAAGTGATCATGGTGAAATAAAATTAAATTGGGTGACTATGGTGACACTAAATATAAGTTAGGTCGTTATGATGAAACACAATCAATGGATAATCATCATGACACTAAATATAAAGTTTGGTAGCTATCGATTGAATTAACCCTTTACAAGTATGAAATTGTATTTTAAGGGATTAAAGAAAAATAATTGTATATTTTAAGATTAAGGAGTTGAGCTAACCAACGAATATGGGAGTCGGAAGGTTGGGCATATCAACTAACTATGAAGATAAATAAATGTGAGAGCAGTTGAAATGTGTGTTTGTATCAAGTGTTGACTGCGTGGAGCGAAGTTGGAGGAGGAAAGAGGATAACTAAAATTTGTATTTGTCATAATAATTTTGTAGTGTTGCTGACATTTACTTCCACGAGATTTCGTTTCGCTTCCGACCAATATGAGAACTTTGTCATTTCCCAATCGATTGATCTTCAGAGAGTAAAACGTAAAATTGAATATTTTTTAGGAACTGACAACGGACAAAAGAGCAATGCTACATAGCGACCTTGGTGTTTAATACCAATTTATATGATAATCTAATAATATTGAATGATACGTCCAATAAATATGGGAGTTAAAACTTGGATAGTTGGACATATCAGCTAGAGTAGTGCTATTTAATACCATCGATTTAGGCGGTACTAACGCGTCATTAAATTATATGTACAATTAAACAATTCACTTAATTTCACATTTCTTTGAGTTTATCACGTCACTTTGATTGGTATTATAGTATCAATGGTATTAGATAACATTATTCTATCAACTAACTATATGAAAGACGGATAAATGTGAAATAAACAAAAACATAAGTTGGAATGTGTATTTGTATCAAATGTAGATTGTAAGAAGCCGAACAAGAAAAGGAGAAAGCCAAAATATGTAATTGTCTAATTAGTGTCGATCAATAAATGATTCTTATTCACATTGGAGTTACATACAATAATATTTTCTCTACCCAGGATAAGATGAAAAGAGCTAAGAAAATAAATTTGTGAATAAGATTTTACATTTTGCCCCGTTTTATTTTTTTATATATTTTTTTTCTACATTTTCAAAGTTTCGAATTATATTATTATTAGAGAATAAAATACAAATTTAAAATGAGTTTTTAACGGATGAATTGTCTAGAAATAAAATTATTTTTAATTATTATTATTTTTTTAACTTTTTCTTCATGGGACGGGTTCGGGGCGGGGCATCCTCGCACCACCCCCGCGCTCCGCGACAAGGCGACCATTTACGCCTTGCCCCACCCCACGATGGGGTTGGTTTTTTTGCCCCATTCGAGGCGGGGCGGGGCGGGGCGGGGCGGAGCGGGGCGGGATGGGATAAATTGTCATCATTAAGCCAACATGGGCGGCTGCCATGGATCATCGGGTGTTAACTTCGCCGTTGATCCATGCGCGCACACAAAAAAAAAAAGGGAGAGAAATATTGCACAACTTTTCAAATAAAATAAATTCTCCTCTATGATCTTTGTACTCCATTATTTGGGTGATTGAACTTCCATTAGTTCGCTACGCAAAAAGGATACGGGAATATGGAGGGGCCTACCAATTAAGGTCCGAACAGTGTTCTCTGATACAAGTAGATGGAGTGAGCTACTGATTTAATATCTAGTAGCCAACACAGTGCCAGTAGAGTTAATGTTCTCAAGATAAGGGATAGTTAAATAGCATTGCACGATTGAAGTAAAATTTTTTATTTTTATTTTTTTGTTCTTTTTCCAATGAGTTGACGAGTCTTTTATTTATTATTATTTTTTTTCAATCTTTACCATATCCCTTTAGAATGTTTACAGCTAGGTGACGAGAATGTAGCATCACACATATTATTAGCAGTGGAATATAGTCCTTGTTTGAGCCACATTTTGAAGAGAAAAATGAATTTTTGAATAGTGTATTGATAAAAAATGTGTATTTAAAAAATAGGAAAAAATTTTGAATTTACGTGTAATATTATTTCATTATCAAAATTTGGAGAAAAATTCATTTTTTTTTCAAAGAATGAGGATCAAACAAGGGCATAGTATGTCGAGAAGAGAAACCATCAAATTTGATTATTATCAAGATCCTTAAAAGGGTGGAAATGGTTAGGCAATTCTGTTGAGTTCTGTACTTGCTTTTCAAGAGATTCATTTTAAAATTGACTATCATCTAGACATTTCTAAGTATAGGACTTTTGCTGCTTTCGTATTGAACGGCCTTTGTTAACAAATTGGGTTTCAACAAATGGAACCACTCATTACTTGATAAGTGGAATGTAATAAATAATTGATCCCAATAAGCTGATGGATTAAAATTTGACATCTATCATGATGATCTAAATCAATGGCTATAAACACTCCATTCTCTACCATAAATTGTTCTCAACTGCCCCTTGAATTTGTTCACTCGATAAAAAGAAAAAAAAAAATCAATCATTTCTTCACCACCAAAATATGGCATACAGAAGAAGCACAGCCTCCTCGATCTTGGAAGTTTTTTCATTAAACCCTTTGCCATATCCAGTCCTACTATTTTTGGCTGTGATTTTCATATTTCTTGGCCTGCAGTGGTATATTTCATATGAATCAGTGGTGGAGGCCACGGAGGAGAACATGGGGTGGCTACTAATGGCCGCGCCACTGGTTTTACTCTTCGCCGTGCGGTGGCTATCGACTGTGGAGAGTCCTGGGTGGTGGTACGGGTCGCCTTGGGACAGGAGGCGGACCATGTATCATATGCCGTCCGAGGGAAGCTCGCCGTGGGGTGTGGCAGCGTTGATCTTCTTGTTACTTGTCTTAGTGCAGTACCAGTCTGTTTTTCTTGAGAGTTGGTTTAAATGAAGCTCAGAATGAAAAGTCATAGGCATGTGGGTTTCACCCAGCTTAAAAGCAGCTTTTTAACTGTTTTTTGTTTGTAAGTGATGGGGGTTGTGTAAGACTAAGATCAACAATAGGCTAGATTTGAATTTTGATGATGTTTAGGCATCATGATTATGTATATAGCATGGAATGTTACTTGATAATAGAAATCTGGTGTTTTTCATGGATATATCTTTGTAATTGAATGAGTAGAGGATTAAATTGACAGTTCGATCTCGATATACTGTAAAATGAACGAACTTTGTCGTCAAAAAATTGATTTCTTTGAGATTTCTTCTTAAAAATTTGGTTTCTTTAGCTATGCGCATCACTACGAATGATCTAGTTCGATTTTTGAGATATCGAATTTGACTTCTTGTAGTAGGTACAATGTACATGCAACTCTTATTTTCTGACATGTTGGAGCACATCTAGCGATTTACTTTTGACAACAGTTTTAGGGGGCGGGGCGATGAGTGCCTTCTTGGGTTCAAAATTTTTTTTTTTTTTTTTTTTTTTTTTTTTTTTTTTTTTTTTTTTTTTTTTTTTTTTTTTTTTTTTTTTTTTTTTTTTTTTTTTTTTTTTTTTTTTTTTTTTTTTTTTTAAGTTTGACTGCTATTCTGCCTATTCAGTACTTTAAATAAAGTGCAAGGGAAATTAGATCGTGAGATCCTAATCCACAAGGATCAAGTTCATCGTACTCAATAGACAATTTCCATCCAAATATATGTTAAAATGTCAATGTTTCTTTCTCAACTTAAAGCTTGGGCAATAGGTTAAAACTCTCATTCTTATCTTCGATCCAGATTTCTTCACGAGGATGAAGAAATTGAGCGTTGATTGTTTTACTTACGGGAAAGTAGGCATCACCATGATTGACGGGTACGTTTGGCTTCTTTTCTCCGTTCTTGAATTAATTATTGAGCTTATAAATAGCAAACATTGAATCATTTGATGTTGATACATTTGTACTATTGCTTTATCCTACTAGCTACTGTGGAATTAGCCCCGTCTGCCCCCATTTTATGATAATGAAAATGGGTAAAATAATATTTTTTTTGAAAAATAAGTAATTGAAAAAAGAGTAAAAGTTTTCAATTTACGTAATATTATTTTATGGAAGATTGTGTATTTGAAAATAGGAGAAAGAGAAATGAAAGGTAATGGAATGAAAATTAATGGAGGCCAAACGGGACGATGGAAAACGCTATGTTCTATTGTGGTTTACTATTTTTAATTTTTTTTGCAATTAAATTTGTTGTGGGTTGAACTGATCAATGTGTACAAGTAACTGTGCCTCAAATTCAAGTTAAACCGTGAAACAAGCAATCAATTTTCTAACAAGTCGTAATCACATACAAACACTACAACAAAAAACATATATGGCCAAGTCAAAGGGACTGTTTGGTAAGATTTCTACTTTTATTTAACATGTTAAGAAAGTTACTCTAGAGCAACTTTCTCTAAAATTTCTTCTGTTTAGACAAAAAATAAAAATAAAAATAAAAATCCAAATATGTTCAAAAATTAATTTATTTTTTAATTTTAAAAGCAATGGTGACTAATTTAAAAGTACACATGCCCCCCTTGAAAACAGTTGGTCCAACGTTAATGGAGGGGAAATCATGACAAACTTTTAATACATCTTTTAACAAATTAAATGTAGTCTAGTGATGTGTCCGCGGATAATTGCATCTAAATCTGTTGTAAATTAATTCCATATAGCCTAGATAATATAAATATTACCCCACGTCAATTATGTTGTGCATTTAAAATTCAAAGAATTAGTATTAATTGAACTACAGTGACAGAGCCATAGAGGGTTAATACATTTCGAAATTCTTGTTCTTAGTAAACTGATGCTAATAGTCATTCTGATATAAGATTGTCTCATTCTAACGCTAAAGGTCGATACTCAACATGGTGACAAAAATTTCACTATATTACACTCGACCGGACAGTTTAACTGTTTTTTACTCAATCTGATCATGACAGAGGGAACCACTGGGAGTGAAACGAGGACTGGTACTACACCAGCACTAGCAGCACCACCACCAAAAGGGCCACACCCCAGGGGAATCCTGCCATTCCACGAGCCCAGTTGTGCCTTACATTTCTAGGTTGTGAAGACCAGAAGTTGGATATTGAACTTGAGAGGCTCGACCGCATGAAGAAGATCAGAAAAACTGGCACCAAGTACAGGAATAAATCGAAACTGATAGCAGCACTGTACGTATGCTCCTTGTAGCTTTTATATTGAGACAGAGACAAGAAGAACATGACAATGGTGAATATGACCAGCAACGGGCGGGGTGGGGCAGAGATCGAGCCTAGAGTCTGGGTCGTCCACCCTTGTTTCCATTCTGGACTTCGCATCATATTAACCTGATCCATTTCCTTTCGGCTTCTCTTGTTTTTCATATATGGTTTATATAGAGGACAGAGGTAAGGTAACTTGATTACTAAGTTAGCTGTGGTACAAGGCATATGTGCCTTGAGTGTAGGATTTCCTTTGCTACCTTTATTGTTGGATTACATCCTACTCCAGATGTTGATACCTATTTGTATCCTCTATTGAGAAATCTGAGGCATGTTAAATAAACGCATTCTACCATCGACGAAAGTCCACAGAAAAAACTAACTTAGAATTGAGTTTGACTTACTTTTAAGCAAAACCAAACATGTATACATGTAAGATTGGACAAACTACTATCGTGGCCTTTACAACATGAACTGCGACAGGTCCTCATAAGGCTCAAAAACTGATAATATCGAGCACGTGTGACGGATTGTTGCATATTAATTGAAAAGTCCAAACTAAGTCCAAATCTAAAAAAGAGAACAAATCACTCTCTGCCATTGGTGTTGATACTGTATATTACATATATTCAAGCAATTTTGCAATAAATTATAAATCATGACACAATTTCAGCATGCCCAAGCTTAGGATGATCCTAGCATTAAGTAAAAAAATACATTATTATTCCATTACCTGACATATGCTTATTCCAATAGATTGAAGCCACATAAGGCGGAACTTCACATTTTTATGGACAAAAAAGAAGGGATCGAAATACCATCAAAGAGAAATAGCTCATAATGTCAGTTGTGAGATCCTTTTGCTACGGATAAATTCCTTAGCAAAAGAAAGAAGTAGCTCAATTTGCAGATCCTGTTTATTATGCAGTTACTAAAAAGGAACATGTCATTCACAAGACATAACTGAGATAGTCCAATGACTCCGACCAAACAAATGATCCTTTCTATTAAGGTTTGACAAGAATAAACAAAGCAGGAGCATACATGTACAGTCGAGAGTATCTGCTTGCTTACCAAAAATATATAGCTCAAGGCTAAACCTTGCAAGACTGAAAAAAATACGATGACGTGTAAAGGGATAATCCAAAGAGGTATCATCTTACAGAATGATAGCAATTTAAGTGATAGTAACCGACAATTGCACAATATACTCTGATAACAAATAACAGCAATTCTTCTCATTAACACGCCAAACACATAAACACTCCACCGAGTGAGCCATAATAGGTGCAAATAGCATTGATTTTCATGTTACAGTAGTAATTAATACTCTTCTGCATCAGTAGAGCAGGAACCAATTTAATTAGAACTGGCACATAGACCATCTACAGATATAAGTATGGACTCCAAGAGCACGATACAATGGGTCAGACATGCTAAGAAAATATACTATAATCAATTAATGGAAATATGCCACCTTGAAGAATCAGGTAAGTGATTTTTTCAGTATAAATACAAACCCAAGTGTTCTAACCTTCTCTGTCACACCCACCCATCTGAACGCCAGGAAATACCCAGAACAAAATTTTCATCGTTCTGCATGTCAGAAATGTTTGTGTTAGATATTCACCAGAGTACCGCCAGATATTTAAATTCAAAGCACTGACATCATCAGTGGTGGAGCTAGAATTTTGGATTTAACAAACTATGCAAATGAAAACTAAAAGTCAGGGACCAAAAAATTCAAAGTTAAAGGTCGAGGACGTATTTTCTATAGGTATTAACGGTTAAGGACTAATTGTGCAGATTTTAAACCCCCCGCCAAAAAAATAAAAAAGAAGAAAATTATAGTATGGCTACTAGGACTCCAATCCAGGATGTTTGGAACCACAAAATGAAGCCTTTACCACTAAGCCATAAACATAAGAAAGTCAACAAAATAAACCTTTAATATTTAATGTGTGTACGTATATATTGAAAAATAAATTTAGAATATTTTAAAAAACGCCCTGTCCCTCTGCCCTTGGATATCATGGTAAAGATAAGAGGATGATGGCCTGGGTAAGAAAATGAGTAACCAGTGGAAATGCAGAAAACTGTAATAACCTGGTTATCCCTCTCTTTCTTGGGTCAGACATCGCTCTTTGCACCACCAGCAATGCTAGTAGATGATGTAGCCTGCAAACTGTGGGCAGACAAACACCCACTTGAAGAACTTCCATCAGTGTGGCTGTTTTCCTTCCTAGGCAATTTTCTTGATTTTCTTTGTTTCGACGAGGAATCCTGCATGCAACTCCAGTTGTATTATCATCATTATAATTAACTTCAAAAGGTTCCAGAATAGCATAACAAAAACTTATAAGACCTAAATGTCATTTACTCACTAGGTCTGACGTAGATCCAGGTGTCTTAAGCTCTAGATCAGTTGCAACATCATTTGAATCATCACTTTTTTCTATACTACTCTCCCCATCTGATGACTTATTCCTTGAATCTTGTTTGCTTGAAACATGGGACCTGTTACCTGGCTGTGCAACATGAGATACATGTGTTGATTGCTGCTCCATCATGGTATTATTATGGGTCACGTATGGAACAAAAGTCGTGGGATTTTGATTCCCATAGTAGGGGTACGGGTGAACAGATGGATGCATGGGAATTGGTCCTGTGGGTATGGGCATTGGCATTGGAAAAGGATAAGTAGGTGGGTGCATGACAACGGAATGATCCATCCCGAGCCATGGGTACATGGACTGCAATCTCTGTTGATACTGGGCATTAAGACACTCAATATCAGACTTAAGAGATGTTTTTTCTTCTCTTAGATCGTTCTTCTCCTGAGTCAACTGATTGAAAACAAAGCAACTAATGAAATACTGAACCAAATGGGTCTCAAAATGATACATTTCTTCCAAAAATCACCTCGCGAGATTCTTCAGTAAGCGTTGAATATTCAGCTTTTAGTCTGTCAACCTGAGCAGTCAAGTCTTTCAGCATTTGAATTGTATCAGTAAGAATGGATACTTTGTCATTTTTAGGCCTATCTGGATCTGCATAAAATCAAGCACGGAGTTAGAGTTTCCTGGTTTTCCCCGACAAAGATAAAAGTTCCAGAACTGAGTAAGCATTTATTAATTCCCAAACTAATGTCATTGGAAGGAACAACAAAAATTCTTATGTGAATTAATCATAAGTTCAATCAGAATATTGCAAAAATGTATTGATAATGAGTTCAAGTTGTCTCTTTCTGTGCGTGGAAAAACAACTCTAATAGACATAGAAGGAAATAAAATTAAATATGGCAAATCAATAACATCAAACTGAAAAGCGTTCCTAGTTATCTAGATTGTGAAGATCTATAGCAATTCCTACTCTTTCTCTTTATTTTGTTTCTTATCATCCTTCTTCAGCAAACATTTGAACTTATCCGGATCTGCCCGTGGAGACTACCCTGTTACGAAGAACAATCAGATGACACGTCGTTTGAGTTTCTAAATGCCTATCACTTTAATCTCCAAACATGCAGAACTTCTCACAGCATACTACACCAAATGTCAATGTGTCTTTAGTCCACGGTAATCTATATAAAATTGGCATGCTATGCTCGTACACCAAAAATAAATAAAAATAAATTGTTGTTGTAACTTCAGGATTGCATGTAACTGAGATGTTTGTTTACCAAGGGCATTCCCCAACTCTGTGAATTGATCATTCAGACGATCTCTCCTCAATTTTTCACGGTCGGCTTTTTGGACTTTTCTTGCTGCAATACAGTCCTTGACTTCTGCCTCTAACCTTTGATCATAGATTAACACACAAGAATTAAAAGGAAACCTTAATATCAGTTGGGATAGGAAACATATACATAAAATTGGAATTTTACATTCAATTGATACACATTAGCAAACATCTATACACCGAGTACAGAGGATCTTACATATTATGGGAAATTCCCTATCAGAAAAGAAAAATGAGAGTTTGACATGCAACTTCTCATTGTAATTGCAACATAATAAGAATTGAAAAAGCGTTTCGTTTGTTGCACCTTTTCACTTTGTTAAAATACCTGAAGCAGCAAATACCTATATCTCAGCTAAATATTCATTTAACACACCCTCACATGTTTTAGGCTTCTAGATGATCTAATATGAGGTCAACATTGCACTCGAGAGTAATGCAAAAAATAAAAAAGATCTAGTCCAAGAAACTACAGATTTAATTAGGTTAACAAAATGGCCCGTACCTAAACTTTATATGATGGTCACAAAAAGTATCTGCCACTCATCTTTGGACAGTTTACCCCTTTAGTCACTAAAATGGACTAAATCCATTATTATTACATGAAAAATTGGAACTTCAAAGAGATTAAAAACAAACTTTTTTCCTAAAGAAGCCGCAAGTAACCTTACCTATTTATTTAAACCAGCAAACCCACCATTAGTAGATAGTAACCAAGCTTCAGCAATATGTTCATCTAATGTTCGTTAATATTCAACAATGAACAATACAAAATAATATACCTACTTGTACTACAGCTAAACAATCAATATATATATACACAAAGCTCAGTAAATCAACTTATATGGAAACCAACAATCAAGATACCTGCAATCGGGCTGCGATCGACTGGAGGGCAAACGCAAATCAGGCTGGGGTTGGAAATTATTTGGGGCTTGAATGGATTGAAACAGCGGGTCGGAGTCCAGTTGATCCATACCTGAGAATTGAGATTGATTGTTGATCGAAATAGAAACCTAATAATGCGGATTCTTTTCAATTTCTTGGCCTTGTTAGTGAAATTCTGACTGGTTATCCATTTCGATAGTTCTGATTTTGATAGGTGGCATCAAATTGTTGGGAGTTTCCGTTATCCAGTTTGCAAAAATTTATAAGGCAACTGGACTTTCTGTTTGTAATAATGTAGCCTTTGTAGTTTTATATTTTTACTTTATAGCCCTCATATTTTATTTTTATTTTGGTAATGGGCCGTTTGTAATATTTCGCCAATTTTACCAAGAAATCGTGTCTTACAAACAAATACATTTCAGATCATGCGATTTCATAGATTATTAAAGTCGCCGCTTCATGAAATTGAAAGGAAAATCAAGGTGAAACCCTTCCCCAGACTCCAGGAGCACCTCGAAGCAAAGGAACTATGGCGGGTATGGGTGACGGGTACGTGGGCACGGCCCAGGATGCCGTGAGGATCCGACGGCTCGAGAAGCAGAGAGAGGCTGAGCGGCGCAAAATCCAAGAGCTCAAGAACAAAACTGCTTCCTCTAAAGGCCAACCCGGTCTCCTCCAGTTCGGGTCAAGCACCTCTGAGGTCCGTATCAAAATTAAGACCTAGTGGTCTACCTATTGTTTTTCTCATATTTATTAATATGCCGATTCTTAAATTCAATTCAATAACACATCAGTTCTAGGGTATATTTGTATATATGAGCAGACCTATTTGTTAGTTATATTTATTAGATTTGGTTGTTGGAATGGTATTTTTCAGATTCTCGAGACTGCATTCAAGAAAGAAACTGTTGGTCTGGTCACTAGGGAAGAATACGTGGAAAAGGTACTTTAATGTTAATGTTAAGAAAGATATGTTGTGTTCCTTTTCTTCCTGTGGTGTGGATAGTTAAAGATGGGTTATGTGGTACAGAGAGTGAATATTAGAACCAAAATTGAAGAGGAGGAAAAGGAGAAGCTTCAAAAGCTGCAACAAGAGTGAGTTAATTTTTTCAATTTTTACTGTCAATTTTTAGGGTTTTTTTTTAAGTTCCAGGTCTCTTTTTATCACACAATATTGTGTATTTTTATTTTTTTTCAAATTTTTATCTCCTTTTTCTCATGATATTGCGGTATAGAGAGGAGGAGCTTCAGTTGCAGAAGTTCAAGAAGCGGAAAATAAAGGTGGACCCAAAACTATCTTTTTCAGATGATTTTGAGATTGACAATGAAGAGGAAGAGGATGAAAATAGTAAGCATAATTTCAATATTTTCCATTTAGAATTTATGCTACTTGTTATGCAAATGTTTAAACTTTGAATTGGTCGAGGCTTGGCTACTATTCTTAGCTAATGCTCTGGAGATAAAAAAAAATATCCACAATGTTTTCCGTCGTTACATGTTATTGTGATCGCATTTGTGAGTTAGATATTTGAGTGTTATACGAATTACGTGGTTTATGGAAGACTTAGCAGTGTGTATATATGTAGTTTGTCTGCCACGGGTCTCAGTTTGTATTACGCTTTGGTGGGCTATTTTTCCTACCGGATGACTGTAACCTTTCTGTGCTCCACTTTATCTTTGTTGGGATTAATTATCAGTTGATTTCATCTCGGTAGAATTTGTAGCTTGTATGTGTATATGGGTGCATAATTTATATTTTATTTTTTTATTTTTATACATTTGGGTCCCATGGGTTGCTTGCAACTACTGAGAAAAGTTGGTGAAAGTATTTCCAGTGTAGAGACAACATCACTCAAATCATGGCATCCAAGGTTAACGTGGCTTAGTTAAAACATGGTTGAATTTATTTCTAGATGATATGTGAATTTGCTTCCTACATGAATATCTTGACATTTGAACATGTTTGATTAGATGTTAAAGTATTCATTGAATTAGACGCAATAGTCGATTAGCATATCTTGGAAAATAATGTTGAATTTAGGTCTATAGTCCCATTTAACATACTCTTTTTTCTTGTGTCTTTGAAGAAAATAAAGAATCTGGAAGGCTTGGGCAGAGAAAATTTGGCAAGGATCCTACAGTAGAGACTAGCTTCCTGCCAGACAGGTGTGATATCCCTTCTTCTTGTCTTTATACCTGATACATGTGTGTAACTGTGTATGTTTATGTGTTGATGCTTGCATGCTGCATTCCTATATATGCTTGTGTGTTTTTATGCAATTTCATGCCTGCTCTATTTATATTTTATGCCATGCTTTTGGGACTTTTTACTTACGTGCGGACTTTGGAGTTTGAAGCATACTCTTACAGTGAGAGAGAGGCAGAGGAACAAGCTGAGCGTGAAAGGCTGCGGAAGCAATGGCTTCGTGAGCAAGAACAGATTAAAAGTGAGTGTGTGTTTTAACATCATATAATAATTTCTGGTGTTTGAAAGAAGATAATTTTCTAAATATTTGTGTATACTTTCTTCTTGTTCGTTTAGATGAGCCTCTTGAAATCACTTACAGCTATTGGGATGGTACTGGCCATAGACGAGTGATTCAGGTTACTATTTTCTGTATTTTTATCATGCTTCAACACCAACTGGTTGGTGCACTTCTACAAGCAGCACATTGTCTCGCAGACTTTTCTGGAATTAATCACTGCCCTACTCTCAGGTACGGAAAGGTGATACCATTGGTGAATTTCTCCGGGCCGTTCAGCAACAGCTTTCACCAGAGTTCCGGGAAGTCCGAACTACTTCTGTGGAGAATCTGCTCTATGTGAAAGAAGATCTTATCATTCCACATGTAAGATATGCGAATTTGCTTTATTTAACAACGCTCGCATTCCAAGCCCCCAACCTTGAGCCTATACACCAATCCACATGCACATACAAACAAAGAAGTAAATTTCACAAGTAAATGCAAGAATTGTCTTGCCTGCTGGCTACCTAACAAGTACAATTTTGTTTCTTTCTGTGATGATGCAGCAACACAGTTTCCATGAGCTGATTATAAACAAGGCTAGAGGAAAAAGTGGACCGGTAAAATTCAGTTTCTCTGTTATAATATATGAAATTGCATAAGTTGAAGGGAGCAGTTTAATTGCCTTCATTTTGACTCGTTTCAGTAAATGAATATAGAGGTTGAATGCTAGATTGATATTTAACATTAGAAACCCATTCCAAGTTCTTTCCTTCAAAATGAATGTATAATTCTCCATATATCATGCTGTTTAATGAAGAACTCTACCCAACTTTTTCAGTTCTTACCAGCATATGAAGAAATCTTCCCAATCCATTAGCAAATATTTTATTTTTTTAATTTTTGTACAGCTTTTCCATTTTGATGTACACGAGGATGTTCGCACCATTGCTGATGCCACAATAGAAAAGGATGAGGTACTTTCTTCTCTACTTAAGATTGTGTTAAAAAAAAAAAAAAACATCAAGTTCAAGAAATGATCATATTACTGCATCATGATTTTAGATCATGCCAATGTGCGTGAGGTGGTAGTTAATCTCCTGTGTATGATCTTCTATACAAAGGTGGTATTGTCTACGAGTTTCAATTTTCTTGCCCATTGCCTCACTTTCTTTCTACCCATACTTTTGGGTGGTGTATTTGAAATCATAATTGATCATTAATGAAAATATTATACTTTGTATTTTTCTTTATAATTAAGTTTGATCATTTAATTTCAACTTTATACTTCATATTTTTCTTTCAGAAAAATATTTTTTCAAAATATTAGAACATCATCTTTTGGGTATTAAGTTTTCAGTTCCATATTCTATAATCTGCTGTCAAAAAGGAAAAATGTCTGATAGTTATGTCGTTGAAATCACCCGTCACTAAATGAATGTGCTTTTGAAATCAGTGTGATAGTTGAAATTCTGTTTTCCTGAACTAATTTACAGCTACCACATAAATTGGTGTGTGTATACTTGGAAACCATTGAGTGCCTTTTCTGGCCTTCAACAAGTAAATTATTTTATAAGAACTGAGCAACATGGTCATGCGTTGAAATACATTCAGCTGCATTTCTCATGATCTCTGTCAAGTTCCTTGACAAAAAGGTAAATTTAACTGATTCATTACCTTACTTTCTCTACAGTCGCATGCTGGGAAAGTTGTAGAGAGACACTGGTATGAAAAGAATAAGCACATTTTTCCTGCTTCAAGATGGGAGGTAATCTCTCTTTCTGTATCTTTATCTCTCTCTCACAAGCATGCTTTCATGTACATTTGCACACATAGAAGTGTTCTACTTAGCACCACTGTGTGTGTTTGAGAGTAGAGATGTCATGTATGCCGCCCATCCCGGCACATGAAAGGCCAGACTAGAGGCCCGCAGTCAGTCTGGGTCACCCCACTCCAGTCTATATCTAAGGGAGATAACTTCAGCAAGCTTGAACAAAAAAGTATACCCCTATATGGCTAGCGCACATATATGAGAGTGAAAATGCATGTTTATCATTAGACTATGCGAGGAATGAATTTTTCTATTTTGTATTAAGTGTTTCTAAAATATCCAGTATAAATGTCGTCTAGCCCGTTTGTTACTTGACACAAATTTGAACACTTGTTTTACCTCCCATCCCTGTCATCCATTATGGTTGACTTTAACTATTGGTTCCTTCCTTTTACAGATATATGATCCAACAAAGAAATGGGAGCGATATACAATTCACGGTGATTGATTCATTGCAGAGTGCTTTTATATCGGTGAATTCATGAACTGAAGTCTGTATCTTTTTGAGTGTCGTGGAGAGCTATTTAAGTTGTTCTGTTTAGAAAAATCAGCCTGGAGACATTATACGGTCTATATGGAGTTTGTGAATTGGTTTAAGTAGTACAACGGGAGTAGGTTTGAATTACTTGACCAGATACGTATTGCAATATGTTTGGCTTTTTTTTTTTTTTTTTTTTTTTCAGAAGGTGCTATAATCTCATTAATTTGATGCTAATACCTCGTCAAATATGGGTAACATGCGCGTGACAATATCGTGCTAAATTATATTTTTGGAGTATGGAGTAGTCCCGCCCACGTTGTGGAAGAAGCCAAATCCTAAAGACACAACGCCCTTTTGAGAGGATTCCTCCTTCAGCTTTGAGGCTTATATATATAGTTTGTTCTTTTTAGATTTTTAGTAGATTTTGATAAAAATTAACGAAATGAGCAGGTGAAAAAATGATAACGTAGCGGGTTTATGGAATATGTGATTATAATTAATTGTTGAGAAGCTTAGATTTCTGTCAAGCAGGAATTGATTGGAGTTAAATTGAGATCAAAATACCTAGGGAAGAAAATAGATTTATGAATGAAATCAGACACGCAATATTTACAAACATAAGTAGCCAATTATTTAAAAAAAATTAAAAAAATAGTTAAACCAAATATGGGGCATAATTTCCCTTTTAAATAATAATCTCAACGTAATTGGAATTAAGCATTTTCTGTAATTTTAATATTGGACGAATTGTTGAGATTTAGAATTATGAGGCAAAAGTAAAATTGCTTTTCAACTTATAAGAATTAATTACTTTACCTATTTATGTTAGAAAATGTAATGATAAATTTACTAAATCAAAATAGTGCTAAACTTTAGCTGATTCAAACCACACAATTTATAAATCACCAAAAAACCTCTTCGACTATGCGATCTGCACTTCTCAGCAATTTTGAGCTACTTTTTCTTCATGTGGATCATCAAGAACGAACTCATTTCGAAATGTTCGAACTCTAAGCGCCGCTTCTCCAAATTTGGTCTATAAGCGTGTTACTGGTGGGTGCTTTACACGAGATGATGTGTGGTTGATTGTTGCCTGTTGGATCTGGCATTTCGATTATTCTGTTGGATATATGTTTCATCAAATTTCGCTAGTTTTACAATCAGGACAACCTCCTCACAGGAGGGGAGCCCAAGATTTTTTTGTTCATCGTGGGTCTCTTCCTATGTTTGTGATTGTCAACCCGATTGTACATGTAACAAAACCCGTGTTTCATCTGCCTTCTGGTACATCCACTTGTTTACTTCTAGCTTTTGGTTTTGAGTGAAAAACACTTCTTCATTTTAGGGTTTTTCATCTCTCGAAAATCCTGTTCAAGTTATTCAAATCTTCAACTACTATTCCGATTTTTGGTTTGATTCTTGGTGAAATCAAGGAATTTCTGTTCATCGTGTTAAAAGATTTTAAATGTTCAGGGAATTGCGTATACTCGATCTATGTCCAGTAAATTGAAGAAGAAGTAGGTGAGCATTCCCTTAGGTCTTACAGTGGAAGTTAAAGACCAGTTTAATGCAGCTAAGATTCTTGTGACACAGTTCAGGGATTCGAAAGCGAGTTAGTTTTTGAGAGATTAGTCTGGGAAGGACCCGCTGAGGAAGAAACTTATATTTTATTTCCATTAGTGACAATTCTGAAACTCTACCCATTTCTAATGCCAAAATGAGAATTGATTATTGAAAAGCTACAGTTTTGTTAACTCGTGAGATTTCATTTAGATTATGGTCATTTTGACAATTTAATTTTTATTAATTTGAGCTTTTCTCAATTGAAATTTGTGCATTGAGGACCTGACATGGTTAGTTTTTGTGGTTTAGATGTTTTATTAGTTATTATCCTTGTGTGGTTTCTCAACAATTATTTGAACACCTCTTTGTTCAATAAATAGGTTTTGCTTGAATCTTTTTCACTTGAGTATTGCTACATATCATTAGTAGATAAGCAACATCGATTTAGGTTAGAATGGATCCCTCGACAGCTGAAAAGAGACCAATAAGAACAGGTATTGGACAACCGTGAATATGGATAAGAAAGAGAGGCGCATACAGTGTCGAAACCAAGGTTGGAGGTCAACTAGGGCGGAGGCTGACCATTGACAATCAACTATCGTAATAACGATGTCGTTTATTATTATTTAATTAAATAATATTAACAATTCTTGAATGGAGCTTGAGACTTCTTTGTATTATTTAACAACTCGTATGCTCGATTAAAAGCTAGGGCGGGACTAGATGCACCACTAGAATTAGAAGAATTTGGTATGAACTTTCGTTTTGGTTGAAAAAATTGTTTCATAATATACAAAATGTCCCAAGTTATTTTTTAATTAAAACTGATAAAAAAATAGAGTACCCATGGTTGAATTGAGCCCAAAATCTTCGTCTCCATTAATTTTTTTCACTTCTCCCCAATTTCCTAAACCTAAATTCCCAAATGACAAATTAAAACTCATGAATGATAAATTATAACTCAAAACTCATACAGTATAAATTATTCATCATAAATCACAAATTCACAATTCTCATTTCTTTGTCAATTAACTCATAAACCTTGAATCATAACTTACGAATAATAAATAAAAAAGTGAATTATGTAATTATGTGAAGTGTGATTGTGTGTGTTGACACACTAAAAATGCAGTCCAAATCGAATAGCCCAAGGAATGAAACCCAATTAGGGAATCCCCAAATCAAATAAACCAAAGAATGAAGTCCAACTGGAAAATTCAGGATAAATGTCCAAATAGGGTTACTAATGAATGCAGTGGAGGCCCACGAATATGGTAACACCATCGTCCAAACTTGCAAGACGTCCAAGATCTGAGCGAATGAAGTGTCTTACAGTCGCCGAGAGCTATGACCCTGTTCTCGCCCAGACCTTCGAATCGCCCAGGATCTTAGCAAACAGAAGATGTTATGGTTATTCAGAAGTGCAGTTATTGAAGCAGTTATCAAGTAACCTTATCACGTTCCACGATTCAAGGAGTTCAGTTGAAGACGGTTGAACGACAAAGAGTAGTAGCAGTAGTTAGAGACGGCAGTTCCACGACAAGATGGCCACCATAAAGGAAGTGGATAGTTATAAAACAATCAAGTAATTTCTAAGCGGTTGATCATGAAGAAATCATCAAGAGAATATAAAAGGAAGAGAAGACATAGACAAAGGACCCCGAATCAAACACTCTCAAACAAAGAATATGTAATTTCAATTTCTTAGTTTAGACTTAAACATTTCTTTTCAGTACTCGTGTGCTTGCGTCCCTTGGAGGCATTCTGTTTAGTTCCAATTGTAAAGTCATTGCCAATAAAATGCCCTCTTTTGGAATTTTGTCTCAAGAGGTTTATTCTTTACTCGATCGTCTGATCCCTTTTTAATTGTTAGCGACTACCCGCACGAAATAATTTGGCACGCCCAGTGGGACCTTGGTATTTGGTGTTGGAGATACAAAATGTGAAACAATATGCCTCAGAAATCTGATAAGGAAGCAAGTCAGGGAGGAGTCCAGTTTGTGATCAAGCGATATAAGGAGCAACATAGCTCTCCACGAACAGATGGACAGAATCAGAGCAGTCATAGTCGTTGCGAACCAATGATAGAGTTGAGTCCTCGAACTATGTATGCATTACTTGGAGAACTCACACAGGATGTCGTTGAACAGGTAAATCTACGAAATATTCATAACATGGAAAGACTTACCCAGATTGGGAATGCACACTATGATAACATGGCTAAACAACTGAATACTTTGAATGAAATAATGAATAAGTTGGTAGGCCAAATTTGTCAGCCAGTCGTGCCTCTTGCAAATCACTTCCAAACTAGGACAATTATGGGACATAATTCCTCAGTCCTAAGTCCAAATCAAGGGGTAGAATCACCTTTTGGTCCCTCTACTTCAAACTAAGGGATGGTGTAATGCCAAATCAGAATAGTGGCAATAGTATATCTAACTTGGGGGGTAACCTAAACGTAAGAGACAATGTCCTAAATAATGGACAGAATGTCCCACGTGTTAATGATGAAGTAAATATTTAGGCTAATGGTAACAATGACCCAAATCATGGTAACTTTGTTGCCAACCAAGGACCAAATATCATGCCTCAAGCAAATCAACCGGTCAACTAACCTGTAGGAATTCCATATGACCCTAATGTCATGTTGAGGAATCAAATTATGGAAATAATACAGGATCAGATGGCTTTTGGGGTACATCCTGTCATTAGGTCGATTTACACAAAGCCATATCCTGATTGGGTAGACCAAGCATATCTATGACCTAGAGGGTATAAAGTGCCAGAATTCTCACTATTTACCGGTTTAGGAGAGGTGTCTACACTAGAACACATAGGGCGATTCACACTGCAAAGTGGTGACGTAACTGATTACCATAAAATGAGGTTGTTCCCTAGTTCATTAATAGGATTAGCTTTTTCCTGATTCATCAATTTGCCAGCGAACTCTATTTAAACATGGCAACAATTGGAGCAATTGTTCCACGCCTAGTTTTATAAGACCGAGTCCGAAGTTACTTTGGCCGATTTGGCGAATCTACGTCAAATGCCAAACGAATGGACAGAAGGTTTCCTTCAAAGGTTCAAAACAACAAGAAGTAAATGTTTTGTACTTTTGCCCGAAAAGGAGTTTGTCAAAATCGCTCAAGGTTGTCTAAACTTTGATTTGAAAAAGAAGTTCCAAAACAAGGAATTTCCCAATCTTTTCCAATTGAGCGCGAACGTGATTAGGTATGAACGATTAATAAGAGAAGAAGAGCAAATGAAAAATTCTAGCAAAGGGACTTATTAGAGAGACCCAAATTTTGATGTTCATACCATTAATGACGAGTATTACGATCAAACCGAAATGTGTTTGGCCGAACTAATCAAAAGAGATATGTATACTTGTCCTATAATGGCTAAGCCTAGACCGTCGGGTAAGGATGAGCCTATAAAAGATGAAAACATAAAGGCTAGAACGTTCTTGTTCGATGTAACCAAGGCTGACCTTATATTTGATAAACTATATAAGGATAAGCAGATAAAGTTGAGCGATAAACATAAATTGCCAAACCCTGAATAAGTTAAGGGTAAAAAATATTGTAAGTAGCATAATGCATTGTCACATTTGACTAATAA